TAAACGCCTGATTTTGCTCGTACATGAGTAGGGAACATTCCCTTAAAGTTTCAGCTTTCTAACTTTCCCCGTTCTCGGATTAGTGATTTTCGCGCCAAAATTCTCACGTGCCCGTACTTGAGCCTCTGGCGGTCCTAAGGAGCTGAGTTTAAAAAAACTTTTGGTCGTGCGTGAGTAGGGAACATTTCCCCAAAGTTTCAACTTTCTAGCTTTTCTCATTCTCAAGTTGCGAATTTTCCCGCCATAATTTTCACGTGCTCGTACGTAAGCCCGGCCAGTCCTGGGCAGCTGAATTCGAAATCCTTTTGTAATGCACGGGTAGGGAACATCCCCCTAAGGTTCCAGCTCTCTAGCTTTTCTCGTTCCCGAGTTATAAGTTTTCACGCCAAAATTTTCACGTGCTCGTACACAGAGCCCAGATGTGCGTTAGAGCTGATACTGCGGTCCTGGAGTAGCACTTGGCTGGGGAACACACCGGCAAAATTTCAGCTTCAAAGCTTGCGTGGTTGACGAGTTGAAATACCCGGACAGACAAACACACACAAAAGCACACACATACACTGGCAGGGTCATTGCAATATGCGTTTTTACTGTGCAGCGCTCTAGCGCTGCACAGCAAAAACGCATAAAAAGCACTGAATGCACGGCTAGACTACGACGCCACATTGATCAGAATTTCTGTATACCTGCACTTCAAAAACAATACTGTAACTGGCCTCATAGTGTGGCACTACAACGTGACGACTATGTCATTTCAGCCTAGAGATCTACTCGGATGTCAAGATTTTTTGTTTAATTCAATAATTTCCACAAATTTAGTAATAAAATCCTGCGATCTTTTCCGTATCAATATGAAAAGGTATGCAAGAGATAATACAGTATGGCTTTCCCAATACAGACGTAAACTTTTCTCAGCACCATCAATTTTCCAGTTAAATGTGATCCAACAACTCATAACGTAATTTTGTTGCCACCTTGATGCGTCTAGATTCGTCCTCCAGTTTGTTGCTTCGAAACTGTCGCTATTTTCCTTTTCATGCATTTCTTACCGGAAATCAAAGTTGCAAACATTATTCAGCACACTTTCGTGCAATTTTTTGCTCGGGATACCTGCTTTGCGCTGAGAGAGATTTGGTGCTCGAAATTTATCATTTCGATTTTAGGTTTGTGCCACCATACCTGCTAACTGTTTGCCCGCACAGCATGAACACCAAAATTAAATTGCAAAGACTGCACCAGTAACAGCAGCAATATTTGTGTGAATCACAAAAACAGAAACGGCCTCACTAACAAACGGCATTGCTTGTTCCCAGTGCTGAGGAAAGACAGTGCTGAGCATCTTGAGGACAAATGTATACAAAATTTGTGGATGAAACTTATACTGCCAATATCATGCTCAAAGTAAAGAAACACACGGAAAATTACTGGTATGAAAATGTAGCAAGCTTTATTAGCGCTATGGCCGGCCTTGTCCAGGAGGTGCCCTCATTTTTTTGTCTGAGACGACGATCTGGACAAAAAAGAAGTCGTCTTTCAAATCGATAAATAGCAAATTTATCTGGAAAGCAAACTGTGCTAGTGAATCACAACCCGAGTTAGATACAGGATGTCAATTTTAGGCTACCAAGTTTAAAGCTTTCGTGTGAAATTTCAGGCCGCTTTAAAAAACAAGATTACACGTAAAATACAAAAGAAAACGAGCCCCCCTTTCTTCTCGGCCATCCGCCTATTGAAGTTACCTTCGATCTCGAGACTTTAATGCTGTGTAATGCAGCTTCTTTTATGAATTTTTGCACCAAAAAAAAGCATTATGATAATGTGCGTGTGTCTGTCCGAATGAAAATACTGAAGAAATATGGGAGTTAGGACGCTACAGTTTGAGAAACAGAATTCTCAATCACATACGAAAACCTATAATCAACTTTTGCACTTCAGTGCGTACTCTAAAACTAATGCAGCCATGAGCTTGGGATTTCAAGGCATATAAGGTGGAAGAATGGTGACAAATCTCTGACTGTGATAAGGGATAACTTCCTTATCCCAAACCAAAACAAGAATTGGCCCTGAGGGCAGGAGGTGAGAAAAAAACAATGGATAGGATTTTATCTTTCATTTACATTTCGGTAACAAAATTTCAGTCAGAACCACACACAAATCTCCATCAACATGATAACAAAATAATTATTGCCTATACTCGGCTAACACGTGCTGGCCTAATATACATCGACGGACTAACATCCGGCCTTGGCCTTCGGAAAGAGGAGTGCCGACTGGTTGATGACGCCGTGCAAGAAGACGATGACGATGAATATGTAGGTGATGATTCAGGTGAACAATCAGTCGGGTCTACGGCTCGTTGCTTTGACTGACTTGACTGCGACTTCGCTTGATGACGCAGTTTTAACGGCACCTCTGCAATTCGTTCAGATTAAAACCTCGCGTGCTTCCCGGGTACACAAGGGCCCAACAACTGCTCTTTATAAATAACCTCATCCTTCAGCAAAATTCCGCTGATAATAACTCACTCAAAATAAACTTGGACAAGCTCGTAGTCTCCAGACCAATTTTTTCAATACGAAAACTTGACAAAAGAAAACAAAATGAGCGCAATAAAAACGCAGCTCACTTACACGCAGTGAAAATTTAGACGTTTTAACTCGAAACCGTATACGAGGAAACATTTCAAATAATGCTAAAAGAACACCTGACAATGCATAAATAATCCTTCCGGAAAACGAGAGTCGCTGCGAATTGGGAATACCCACGTTTAAAAAGATGTCAGACATTACAAATTTCACAGCAGCAAAAATGTCCTCAAGGGGTAAAAACTCAAAGGACTGCCCCTTTATAACACTGTCACGCTAACAGCAAGAAGATACGAGTCTTAACAGAAAAAAAAAACAAGTACAATAAAAGGAACGACAATTAATCATGAAATGCTTGCAGTATCTCACAACCACAGCGACAAACGAGCGCCTCGTCAGTTGAACGGTGTGCAAAAATAGTGTGTCATGAAGATAGTTCAGCAGAACTAGTGAAGTACTCAGCAGGACTAGTGAATGCTTTAACAACATTCAGCAGGCGTTATTCAGAGGTGATCAGACAGGAAGTAAACGATCTCCGAAGAGATGACACACATACTTAGGGAATATGACAGGCCAAACCACGCGAGTAGCTCAGGACAGGAGAAGCTAATACAGCTGCAGTCGACATGTGACTGCAGCATTGTAGCATCTAGCATCCTATCCCGATAGTTCAAACGATTCAAGTGGAATTCAACTGAATGGAGAGGGAACCCAGGCTAGAACACATCAAGCTTGCCCGTGCGATCGTGCGTTTTTGCGCCACACTTGAAGTAATTAGGTCAACAGCATGGATGATTGTTGCTTCACACGTACTTTATGCGCTCAGTACCGTAAATTATCGTAAATTTTGCATAAACGAAAATAATTTCCGTTTAGCGGTCTTTTTTTGAAAATGACCTAGCTATCTAATGAGCATTTTTTTCGCCAAAAAAATAAGTCCCGATGCACGAGAACCACGCATACCTGGAATCCGAATTTGAACCTCTAAGTTGTATTTGGACGGGGAATATTCTCCTAAAATTTCAGCTTTTCAGGTTCCCGAGTTAGCAATTTTCCCGCCAAAACTTTCGCGCTCTCATACGTGAGTACCACGCGTACGTGAGGGCTGGATTTGAAATCTTCAAAATGTACGTGAACAAGAAACACGCCCTTAAAATTTCAGCCCTCCAGCTTTTCTAGCTACCGAGTTAGCAGTTTTCTTGCCAAAACTTTCACGTGCTCGTGTTTGTGAACTGCGAACCCCTCGGGGCTGAATCTAAAATTTTAGCTCACGATGTATGGAGAATACCACCACATAGTTTCAACTCGCTATTTTCTTTGGTTCCCGAGATCGCTTTCCCGCCAAAAATATGCATATTTTTTTGAAGCGTTCGTACTTGGGACCTAGGCGTACGCAATTAATAGTATTAAAACGGGTGGGTCGCATATGTGTGGATACATACTCCCGAAGTTTCAGCCTTCTAGCTTTTCTCGTTCCCGGGTTAGCAGTTTTCCCGTCAAAATTTTCACGTGCCCGTGAGTCCAGGGCGGTTCCAAGGAGCTGAATTTAAAGCACTTTGATCGCATATGTTTAAACATTCCCCTAAAGTTTCAGCCTTTTAGCTTTTCTCGTTCCCGAATCACCAGTTTCCCAGTCAAAACTTTCACGCACTCGCGCGCAAGGCCCAGACGTGTGCGAGAGAAGGTGCTGCGGTCCTGTGATGGTACTTGACCGGGGAACCAATCGGCAAAGTTTTGGCGCCGGAGCATGTTTGGTTTTCGAATTGAAATACCCGGATAGACGAACACACACACACACATACACCCAGATACACACACAGGGTCGTCGCAATATGCGTTTTTGCGATTTGCACATAAGCAAAAACGCATAAAAATTGAAAACAGAAAAAGCGTGTCTTTTCTGTCAGAAAGCCGTCGTCACAGCAATACAAAATAAAAAGATAACAGACCCGGCAAAACTACAGCAAAGAGCGATATTCGAAGAACTTTACTATACAGACAAGTGGTGCAAAGCATTTGTTTCAACCGTTTATTGCCATGTAAAAAGTCACAAATTCCTTACCATAATTGTTATCTAGCACGAATCCAGTATTATCACAGCCTCCGTCATAATCTGAAATGCCTCTGATGATAATTACCAGCCAAACACTAGGAAACTATCATAAACATGACTTCTGAAAGAGTACTGTTTTCAAGAAAAAAGCAGCATTTAAATTAAGTCCAATTTGTGCAGTTTCACCTTTACTTTGTAACTTTATTCAAAAGCAGCGACGTAACTGAATTAAGAACGTACGAAACTGCCCTGACAATTCATTATGATATTCAGAAACAAAAAAAAAGATGAAGCAAAGTGTTGAACATATATCCAGGGCGATATTCATGCGAAGATTTGCAGCCTTACGCAAAACGAACTATTGAAAGGTCTTCATACTTATAAGCTGTTCAAGCCCCAATAAGAAATCATACAACCATAAAATCGAATCGTGTCTACAGTCTTATCGCTGAGCGCAGAAACTGGTACGAACGTTTTTTTTCTTTTTTGAATACAAAAGCTTCAAGACGCAACAAGAATATGAAACTAAATTTCACAGGGATGGAAAAACGCTCTCTGCACACCGCAGTACTGAAGCGTATGATTATGGTATCGCTCTAAAACGAGACAACGAGCAACCTTGTGCGAGTGAGTCCGCATCGCTAGTAATACTGCTCACCGATCGTGACCTTCGACTGCTTGTTTCAAAATCGCCAAAACTAGCCTGGAAACAGGCAGCAATGAACTGGTGAATTTACAAGCCCAACAAAAGCTATTATGATATGCTGTCTAAAACTTCAAAAATATACCGTAAAAATATGCTCATTATGCGTTTTTGCAGTGCAGTGCCAGAGCACGTATGTGTTGTCTGCCCAGGAATTTCAGCTCAGCAATCAGGTAAGCTTACATGTTTAAGTTTTGCCAGTGGATCTCCTGATAAAATGCGACCCCAGGATCAACTTCAACATACGCCTGAGCCTCATGTATGGATACGTGAAACTTTTGGCAGGACAACTGCTAACTCAGGAACCAGGGAATCTAGGAAGCTGAAATTCTAAGATTATATTCTCTGCTGTATGCGATGCAAAGTTTTCAAATTCGGCTCCTCGGTAGACTTGGTTCTAACGTACATGCAAAAATTTTGGCGGTGAACTTCCTAACTTCTTTATGCTTCTCTCTCGACATCCCGCTGCAACACTCGCATTTCCAGTGAATAACTGGTCATCGAAAATTATTCATTTCTTGGGAAATTTACGATAATCGTGAGCGAAAGCTAAGAATTCACGCGGTCCCATGATGCAATAAGAATGACCCAGCCGATGCCCCTTCTCACCTACATACATGAAAAAGCAAAAACATAGCCAACAGGAGTGCACAACTTAAACTGCAAAGCAAAATCATTCATACCGGTAAGGACCTAAATGTTTCAAGATTCGTGTAAAAACGCATAATCGCACCGGCAAATCTAGTGCGTCACTGCCTGAGTTAATTTCTCCCCATGAAAAATTTATGATAATCATGCGTCCTGAAGGATGAAATTTGACTTAGCCCTACGATACAACACTGCCATCCCAGCCGACGCCCTGTTCTTTCTGCAAGTAGGAATCATTGGCGACGCGCACTAGGGGGGCCCCGTGCGATCATGCGTTTTTGCAGTGTTTCATGCTGTAATAAGATTACTCGAAATTCC